TCTTGGACATGCACGCACATGCACCCGGCGTGAGTTCAGTCACTGGGTCTAGGACTCGAACTGTGGTTGACTACATGGGAGTCCAGTGACATAGCCATTATGCCAACTGCTGGTCCCATCCCTGAACTTTTTGAAGACTCTTCATAGTTACATTTTATTTATCTATTTGTTGATGGACATTTGGATTGTTTTCATCTTTTATCTACTGTGAATGATGCTGCAATGAACACTGGTTTTCAAGTATCTGTCTTGGTCCCTATTTCCAATTATTCTAGGTTCATACCTAGTAGTAGAATTGTTGGCATGCTATATTTTGAATATGTATCCCCAAAATTCATATGTTCAGTCATTGTAATGGGATCAAGAAGGTGAAAACTTAATGTGATTATGGTGTTGCAAGGTGGGGCCTTTGGGAAGACAGTAGCGATTGAGTGATTAGGATGGGGCTTCCAAGACTGATTTCTGTTATGTATATACAGAGAGCAAATGTGGCAGGCAGAGGCCACGTGGATATGGACCATGCTCTACTCTATTTCAGATCCTACCCTCGGGGCTGGCAGGAGGCGTGTTGGTTAAGGTGTTGGATTCTCACATGGCCAAACACAGTTTGAGTCCTCAACCTGGCAGCTTGCTTTCTCACTTTCCTTTTCTCTCTCTGGTCAAATTAAAATAATAATAGTAATAATAAGAATGTATGTAATCTCTATTAAAAAAAAATAAGACACAGGGGCCAGCAGATGGCATAGTGGTTATGTTGCTGGATTCTCACATGGCCAATGATGGTGTGAATCCCAGACCCAGTGGTTTGAAACTCACACCAGGGACGTGTGCACCTAAGATCCTGGGAGGAGAATGGAGAAGGAACTGTGTGTAGCAACCTCTTCAGGGGGTGATTCCTTACCTTCTCTCTCATTGTCTCTGTCTCTCTTTCCAGCAAGCAGATGCATCCTACAGCAAAAACCTCTTTAAAAAAGAAAAAAAAAAAAAGACACAACCTCTGTTGTCATGCCAGAGTGATAGCATTATGGGCAATTTCTTCTTCCATTTACTATTTTTTTTGGTCATGGTATTATATTACTGCTATGACTTAAAAATAAATTTCAAAAGGTTTAGCTGACCACTTAGGAGTAAACACTTCACAAGAGCAACTGTAATTTAAACTTTGCATTTTTGGATTACCTGAAGAGTGTCTTCAGTGAGGAAATGCTATAGATGGTGAAGAGTAACATGAGTAAGATTTTAATGGGAAGCTCTGTGAATAAAACAAAAAGAAATACAGATGGTGATTTGGCTGATGAGACAGGTAGATGATGTCTTAGGCAATATAAGAACACTGACACAGCTATACTGTGCTAGGAACGATCTTTTAGTTTTGCTCTGTAATTCTGTGAATCTAAAGATTCTTAGCATTAGGCGCAAACCAAAGGTTTTATTTAAGAAAATGGATGAGATCTCTTTCCTTCCAAGAAATGTTCAGTTGGTCTAAATCAGATAGTGTCCATCTCTAGGCCTGGATGAAAAGGACACAGTAGTCACGTGTATCTTGTTAAAAAGAAGCCGTTTACCTGGTGCAGTGAAGAGCAGAGGGAAGAGGGAATAATGCCCTGTGGTGGTCAGAATCAGAAAAATCGAAGCATCTTCTGCTTTTCCTACAGACAAAAGGCTAAAACACAAATTCTCATAATTAATCCTTAAAACGTCTGAATTCACAGTGGCAAAATAGTTTGAATAAAGTACACCCATGATTGCTGCTAGAATCGGTTTAAGCTTAAAACAACATACGGGAACCAGCAGTTAGCGTAATAACAGGAATGTTATGGGACTGACGGCTGCCTGGTGGTGGTGGTCAGGTAAACAGGACCTGGGAGTTTCATTTCCAGCCCTTTAGTTTATGTCCCAGCCTGGGCCCTGTACTTGCTGGTGTGCAGTATGAATTCTCACTGAGGCACTGCAAGTTCTGATCTACTTTTGAATTTTTTGAGCTCCACACTGCTAAATGACCCCAGATGAGCCATATACTGACCTGATAAATTTGCTTAATGTCTTTCAGAGCTTAAATGATGCCTCAGGATCTAGGAAAAATCTGAAAAGGCTGATTCTGTTACCATCTATCTATCTACTGGGTTTTGACCAAGCATAAAATGGACCCTATGGGCCAGCCTGTGGCCTGGTAGTTAAGGCAGCTAGATCTCATATGGCCAGCCACATGTTCTTCCTGGTCCTGGTGGCTTAAAAAACATGCTGGGTGCGTGTGCATGCATGTCCCAAGTCCCAACTGAGTGGGGAAATAGGAAAGGCATTGTGGCATGTCCATACCCCACCGGGGAGATGTTTTTTCTCTTACTCTCTCTACCTCTCAATCGTGGTAGGCCATGTGGGAGTCCAGCACCCCAACCATCATGCCACCTGCTGGCTCCTTATTTATTTTTTTAAAGCATGGCACATTGAGAAGATGACAAGATTGGCATCATGAATTCGGGCTTAAGTCCTAACTATGCTACCTGCTAGCTGTGTGGCTTTGTATAAGTCAGGGACTCTCGGATTCCTGGTTTCTTACAGTGTTAGATGGGATGGTATCCATTTATCCTAATCATCTTAAGGCTTGTTGTGAGGCTCAAAGGAAAGAACTCAACAAAACAGAAACATTTCTGGAAATCTGAAATGTGGCACAAATGTTGGGTATTATTCTAGAAAGGACTCAATCCATACTTTTTTTTTGTTTGTTTAAGAGAGATTTTTGTCCGCCCCAGTGCAGCTGCGCGCCGGGAACGGCCTGGCCGGCGCCCCCCCCACTCCGGGGGGGCACGCCACACGGGGGGCCTCCCTGCCCCTCCCTGCCTCTCTGGCCCGGGATGGCCCGGAGGCCGAAAACAAGGTTGAAGAACTTGCAACTTAAGAAGATGATAGTTACCAGCCCTGCATTACCTCAGGGGAAAACAAGAACTACTCTGCCATTTTTAAGGAAGCCAGATACCCAAGGACAACTCACACTGCAGACCCCCACAACACCATTCCTGGTAACTACAAGATGACTGCTGTGCCGCATCAGCTGATAATTATCCCTGTGTACCAGAACTGCTTTCCTGAAAATGCATTCCTTGGAGACTCTCACCTACTTGTGGATCTGCCGGAGACCCTTCCTTATCCAACCCTGAGTGGAGTTTATGCTCCCTATTACCAAAAACTTTATGAGCTGATGGTTGGAACTTGTGGCCTCTCTCCCTTTACTTGTATGTATCACTTTTTCAGTAACTCTTCTGGAAGACAACTGTATATAGCAGGGATATTGTAATGGGAGAGTGAGACAAGGCAGTCGAATACCAGACAAAGGTAGCTTGAGAAACATGCCAGCAGTGTGTGCTCACGTTCTCAAAATCCCAAAAGGAGGGAGAGAGAGAGGAGAAGGGATTGTAGTGTGACCCTTCCCCTTGGGAGGTGAGGAAAAATAAAAAAAAAAATAAAAAAAAGAGGAAGAGGAAAAAAAAACATATATATATGCATAAGCAAGAAAGTAGAAGTGGAATATTATTGATGATAACATGCTTGATTGGGTCACTGTGCAGTTTATTCTAGATGGGAGATTACATTTAGTACGCTGTGATGATGCTCAGGGAATGAATGCTAGGGAAAAAAAAAACGAAAACAAAAAACAAACAAAAAAAAACGGTAAAACTATTCGTACCATTTAAAAAAAAAA